GGGGGGGAATGCTTACTTTTCAATCAATTCATAAGCTTTACTAAATAAAAGACTATAAAAGACTCAGTCTCCAGCTGGACCTTCTTATCCACTGAAACAAAGGAGACTCAAGCGGGACTGATTTTACTTCATGCAGCACAAGGAAGGATCCAGTCACTGACCTGGCTGAGAGCTTATCAGCAGAATGAGGACTGCTTTATTTCCACCTACCTCTTTCTGCAGTTACTTTATTTGGATCCTCACCTATTCTTTTTGCAGTCTGCTTATCTACTGCTTCAACTCAGTGACACTCAGAAGTTAATATATGTCAAATTAAGACATGTCATTAAGGTATTATTTACCCCCCAAAAAGCAGATTTATTTCTTTTCCATTATGGACTGTGCATTATATGAAAATCGATCTAGTTCTTGTATATAAATACAGATCTCAGAAGTCATGCTTTAAAATAGGTGATAACAGGTATCAACCTTTACACCAAAACAGTACAAGGACACCAGCAAAGGAATAAGCCACAAAACAAAACAGTGTTGAAGAGATTTAGGTCTCAGCTGAAACTGATCATAGGACAACAGAAATGGAGCAATATGCTAGCAAGAAGGTTAAGTGGAAGGCAACACTGCACTTTTAGAGTGAGGTGACCATAGGCAGTGTTTTCAAAGCCAGGCTTTATGTAAACATTATTCACGCTTGGGGTCTTGTATGTTCTGGCTGTAGGAACCAGGCCCTGTAGGAGGTTTTCTAGAGTTGTTTTTATGGGAGAAAAAAAACCTACCAATTCCAGGCCACGTCTTAGTGTGCCATGAACCTATGCCCAAAGGGCTTGGTTAAACTGCTGCAATCAGTGGTGGTGCAAACCTATTCCATCCTCCCTTGGGTCACAATGGAAACAATGTCTAAAAGGCTTGATTAGTGGGGAGTTTCTGTGAACTCCCAACCTCACACATGCGCCAGCTACAGCATTGGAAAGGTTCCTCCTGGATTTTTTTCACCTTTTTTCCCCTCTTAGTAGCTGTACTCAATTCCACGTTCAAGGTTATCAAACACCCGTAGTGCAAACATGCAGTGACACAAAATGTCTCAAAATGATAGAAAATGAGATCCTTGTAGCACCTTACTGTACAGTGTAAGCTCACTTTATCGACCTGCTGAACGATTTGAAACAACAGATGATTTGGGTATATTTTGGGCAAATCAGGAGGTGATTAGGGGTAAGAAATTTGTGCAGTTAAACAAAGCAATGCATTTGCAGTGATGGTGAATTATGCCGGGAGATCACAAATCATAAATTGAGGGAAAACATTTCTATATTGTTATGCAGGAAATATTATTCCACTACAGAAACAAAAGAAAAGTCCCAACATGAAGCCAAAGATGACCAAAAAAGGAATAAAATAATGCTCATTTAGTTTAATTTTAGTTTTTTTTTAATTTATGTGCATGATACATCAGTAAAGTATCATAGGCACTTTTGCAATATGCAGTCATTTATGATCGAAGTTTCTCTGATAATTTCCCTTAAGTCAATGTAACCTTTGTACAAGGTTGTGACAGTTTTGAAAACATGCAAAGTTGAAAGACTTGATACAATTGACAAGATAAGTGGTACTAAGAACACCAAAGCATTTTACAGTTGTTATTCACGCTTAGGCAATGCTTAAACATCAGACTTACCAGCAGTGAAGTCCTTGTTGAGGTCAATGAAAGCATTGGAGTGAGGCATACGCATGGCGCCAGTTAAACTCAGTGCTTTGCTGCACACTTCAGTCCTAAGAGAAGCCAAAGTTATAAAACAACCAAAGAATTTAGACACACCATAGAATTGAACTTCAGGTGTAACAGCACTAGAAATAAAGATAGAAAACTCTTAGTTTGGAAACTTTTCCATTACCTTTTGGTGAGATAGCAGACTACACTGGAGGAAGAGCTGATGACTCCAAAAACATCTGGAATCATGTCCCCATTAAAACTGAAAAGATTGTTTTTCTTTTAATGAAAACAAGACTTCAGGAGAGACGGAGATCACCAAAGTAGTCATTTTGAAGGACTTCAATGATGAGGGAGGTAAAACATGAGGTAATGGTTGCTAATATATTGGAAAAGTTAGTTTTCAATAATAAATCTTATCTAAGACAAAAAAAAACTCTGTAAAAACCAAGTTTGACTAAAAATGCACAAATGGAGCCAAAAATCGAAATCAAGCAAATTATTTAAAATTCAAAGCAATTCATGTAAATTTACACTGATACTTACTCCATGACAAGAGGTTGATCACTAAAGCTGTGATTCAGCTTAATCCCCCCTCCAATATCTATACAAAATGAAGAAGGTAAAAAGGCCTTGAGTATTAATGGTTTGACAAGAACACAGAACAGAAATCACTGGTTTTGCTTAACTGAAGTCAACAGCTACAAATTGCTAAAAATAGCTAAAGCTTGAAATATTCATTATGCAATGGTTTTTCTTGTATATATATATTCTGCCTGTAGTTCAATAAAAAAGGAATCCCTAAACAGAAAAATATACACATAAAAAAGAAACGAAAAAAGAAACAAATCTGAATAATCAGGTGATGAGCTTCTACTGGCATTGTATATTAAGCAAAAGTTGGTAACATGTGGAAAATGAGGTATCATTTTTATTGATCTAGTTAATGTTTATTGTTTTGGACTGAATGATGATAGCCTATAAAAGAAAAAAGGACAGCAGTTGCTAATAAAATTAACAATGTGTCTTTTAAATTACGGTTTCCCAGTGAGTCATGATATTGTGGCAGTGACCCTCCAAAAGGTCCTAAAAGTGAAACATCTATGCTTTCTTCACTGTAAATTACTGCAATACCAACTCTAAAACAGCAAATGGAAAGTTTGGCGGGCAATGTACACATTTTGCGATTTATGTTACATCATGTGTTGCAGCAATGATTGATTCACTAAGAATTACTGCATTGCAATAATATGCCTCCATCAACTTGTAATATAAGCAGTAAAATCTGTGGGGAAATTAATATGTGTGGATACAAAGTTTAGTATCACCAATGACAAATCTGAGCAAATGCATAATCTTGACAATGTTTTGCTTCTGTTGTAACAAGTGGATAGAGAGGCCAAGACTTTCTGTTCTCTCTACCAACCATTGTTTACAAATGCAATTTAAAAAAAAATTAAAGTATCATCAGAGAGTAGAAACGGTTTTTGAGTTTCCATTTCAGCAAGCATTGATGGTTGTCGATCTCTATGCGTTAGTCCTGGGAGAGACTCGCGACTTGTCCAGGGTATGGCTTTTTCCTGTGACGGCAGGGCAGCATTTGTAAATAAATCACTATTAGAGCTGTACCTAATGTCTGGTTGTGCCCCCAAAAGATGAAAACTTCTGTTTCTTGGCCATTCTTAGCTGTGAGAAGGACATCCATCTGAGAGTCTCCATCATAATCTCCGGGAACCACGCTGGTGATGTTTCTGAAACAGCAAGAAAAGTACTGAGTAAACATAATGCTGAAGTGCGAGTACGTTCAGTTTGTCAGCACTGAACATACTTACAATCATAAATTAAGACCAGTGCCATAATAAAGCTAATGGAGTGAAATAACAAATACATATGCATACTTTCCCAAAATGTTTTTGGCTTGAACTTTGGGCTTGAAGTAAGGTGGTTTGGAGTCAGCCAAGAATATGACCAAATCAGTCTCTGAAACAAAAAGAAGACAATATAAAGACGTGCAAAAAATTTAAGTTTACTTACTTTTTATTTAAGTATATATTTTTCACAAGTCATTCTGAAATGTCATTGCAGAGAATACACAGGTGCATTTAATAAAAATACAGCAAGACCAGGCTAATTGTCGTCCAGAGGTGGACTTCCCCCCTCTGGCTGCTATGAGACGTTTAAACTTCGGTTTTAAAAATAGAGAAGCAAACCAAAGCTACATTGTAGCTCAATGTGTAGGTAAAAACGCATTTTATATACATTAATACATGTCAAATTACATTTTATATTAAATTGATTACATTTAGTGTTTTAACTCAATATACATAATTTGTGCAAACTGTTAAAAAGAAGCCTTACTGACTGTTTGCTGTGTGAAGTGTGGATGAGTAAACCTACGTTCTTTGATCGTGAAGATGTCTGTCTGTTTATCCGAATTAAAATCTCCGAAAGCTGCCACCGTCCCATAATTCCCGGGACCGAAAAGGTCGGCCGTTACATCTTGAAGAGCAAATGTGTTATACTGTCCCCCCAAAAGTAACAAAAACGCTAAAGTAATTAATTTAAGCGTCCAAATCATCTTCCTGTCAGTGTAGCTCCCAACAACAACACTGACTGTAATACGGCGCACTGCTTTACAGCAGAAGGAAATGGTAGCTGCTTTTTAAGTAATTACACATAACATTTAACGGCGTTAAGCATATGTCGTGCTTTTTTATTTCTAGTGGGAAAAGCTGCAAGTAACGTTTAGAAATAAAGATAAATAATATGACATTAGAATTTCCTTATTTACGTCAGTGTCGTGCTCTCCGAGCTATTTCACAGCTATCAATTTACTGAGAGTTACTTAGAAACAAACCGGAAACGAAAAAAAATTGTGTTCATAATAAATCTGAGACATATATTAACTATCAAAATGAGTGCGTTAATAAAAATAAATTCAATATCTTAACACGCAAAATATACTTTGTGGAAACACTCGGGCTTTATTTACCAGTAAGCCACGGCAGAATTTAGCCTTGTGATTTCTTACACTATGCTGAGAAGCCCGATTCGCGTTTTATTTTGAAAGAAGCTACCGGATACACCTTAGCTTTGTAGCTATTTTAACATTTTCATAAACATGGCGAGCTTAGCAGATGTCGGGTGGAAACTCTTGGAATTTAAAGCCCGATCAAAGCGATCAGGTCTGACATAACTTTGCATGATCTTCTGCATTGTGACACGCCCGCTTTTTCTGTTGTGCTTGCAGTGCCTCTGTACGTAGTGCCTCTGTTCTGCCCGTTTTAATGTGTCTACTGCACTGTTGGTAGAAGCATGAAAGGTCAGAGGTGTAAATGTGAAGCACTCAAGAGCTATTTTAAGAGCTTCTCATCAGGTCGCTGTGAGATCTCGCCCATAGTAAAACTGTGCTGCTGTATATTACTGTGTTAAACTGTGTTCCTGAAGGACTGTGCGGGCCTGTGAAAGCTGACACATTATGCTACTCTTGCGCTGGGGGAATGTGTCGGATATTGCACAAACGTTACCTAAACTCTTAACTGTCGCCAGCTGTTAGAAGCCAACCATTTTAAGAACTGCTGATAACCATCTACTTTAAAAGAGATCTTGGTGTGAAATTATGATTTAACAAGAGGTGCATCCCAGTGTAGCCTAATAACGCAGCATTCTGAAAGCATACCATTTAGAAGTGTATGTTATGAAGAATAAAGTGCAGTAATTAGTCAAATTATGTCCTAATATAGTGATGTAGTCATTTAAACCATGTATTGCCATCTTTCATTATAACTCTACTCTTCATCACTCATTTCTAAAGAAATACAATGGATTGTAATTTCTTGCATGTTCTTGATCATTGTCGTCATCCCAGAATGTAATTCGTTGTTGATTCATGCACGTCTAAAATTGTAACTCTCTGCTACTAACTCATTTACTGTGAATTGCTGTAGATTTGTGATTTAGCTGAGAGACGCTTGGCCTTAAATTCACCTTTTGAGAATGGCCGGTTCGGCTGCGATTACCAAGCTCCACCGGACAGTTTACAGACTCGGTAAGTAGTGACAGCAGAGCTGAGGGAAACAGCTGAAGGGGACATAGGTGACGATATCTGGACTCTAGACCATATACTTATTTCACGATTACAGGAAAACATATGTTGTGAATGTGATCATCCTATTCTTTCAAACAGCAACCCAGAAAAGTTCAGGTCAGAACAATTTTTTCCGTGTTTACAAGAAAACAAAACAATCTCATGCTTGGACTGTCGGGAATTCTGACGTGCAAAGTAGAGTATTACCCATAATCTTCTGTAATTTCACACTGTTGATACAGTGTGGCTTATGTGGATTAAACTCAGAAGAATTATATTGCTCCTCCACAGTAAGCATGAAAGATCCTGATATGGCACAAAATGAATTTACAGTATTAATGAAGTCACTGAAGTTAGTCAGGGGATTGTTTAAAACCAAGCAAACAGTGACAGCTTACATTTGTCTGATCTCATGTTAGAAATTAAAATTGGAACATTGTACTTCCTCCATGCCTGTTTAAAGTGTTATCTTTAAAAAGAGATGGATTGGCTTTGTCGCCAGCAACTTTTATGCTGATGGAAATTATGCTAATTTCAGTAAGAATGTGAATTTTTCAGTACCTGTGGTACTGACCCAAGGTCAAACCTATTAAAATGCAAATCTCAGCAAAGTGAAAAGTGTCTGAAAATAGAGAAAGTCTAACAAATTGGGGCTTCCCTCAAACTGCTACTCTCTCTCAGTTCAGAGGAAAATGTCTGCTCACGAGTCGCAGTACTTTCTGAATGTTTAGCTCAGGGCTTGAATATCATTTTGTGTGCTGAGACTTTTGTGAGTCTCAGCACAGATGTGTTGCAGTGAAAAACAGAATGTACTGATAGCATGTGTGTATTGTTTCTGTGTTTTGTCTGCTGCCTGTTCTTGTGTCCCAAGCTGACAAAAGCCGTGGCCAGAGCATTATCCATTCAGGTTGTCTTTGTGTACATACAAAGGTTTGTCCAATAGATATGACAAGTCATAATCTCTCTAAAGATAAACAGAGTTTGGTGGCCAAAGGTCAAACTCACTTTGACCACTCAAGATATGCCTCAAGACATTATGTGCTAATTCTTACAGTCAGATAGAAAATGTCAACACTTCTTTATTCTATCCAAAAGTTCAAAGGTCAGCTTTACTGTGATATCACAACGTTTGCAAAAACACTTTTTGTCCATTGTGCCATAACATGGAAAAAGACATGGGGATTTTGGCGTTATTTCATAATTCGGTCTCTACCTTTTTAATTTCTGCATAAATTAATGGCTGTCAGAAGTCTCTTCCTGTTAAAATGGAGTTTTTCCTTCCCACCATCGCAAAATGCCACTTATAGGATGTTGTTTGATTGTCGGGGTTTTCTCCAGAATACTGTAGGGTCTTTATCTTATATTAAAAAGCCCTTTGAAACAACTGTTGTTGTTATTTTTGGCTATAGAAATAAACTTGAATTGAATAGAGATGAAATCTATATTACTGTATAGATCAATGTAAACATCAGCTTTAGTTTGATGGATACATACAACCGCAAGCCTACAATTTTAGTCTTCTTTTTTAACTGGAAACATCCAACAAAAAATAAATGTATTCTGAAACTGTTGCTAAACTTAAACCTCTAAAGAACATCAGTTTTGGGAAAGCTATTGAAGGACTGTGTTTGCAAGTGTTTGTGTTTAATATGTATATTCTTCTTCAGGCTCCATCTATGAACCTCTGAAGCTGTCAAATCTCCAGCGGGAAGATGAACCCCTCTGGGAGAAGCTGGACCGCTACTACAGTGCAGGTAAATACATTTGCTCATTCTTTGGAAGCTGCAGATTAATAATGTAAAGATGTGTAGAAGAAATGGCAATCAGAGGAGTTTGCAGGCATTTTGGTACTTTTATGGAGGAGTCTGATCATTCACGTGTAATATTTTTCCCCTGATGTAATTTTATTAATTTCCACTCAATTTCTGCCATGTCATTAAACATAAGAGAAACTAGTCCCTGTTATTCCGTATTACAGGAACATTAGATCGCTAATTTCCCATAGTAATTCCAACATCATCAAGTTTATGAGTCTTTGACACCCACATAATCTACACAGTATCTCAGTGGTTTGACTTCATCTTTTATGTTCTCTCACTGTATAACTGCAGTGCACAGCTTTTAATATTTTAAAACTGCGCAGAAAAAGTTTCTACATTGTCTTAGATCAGAGGTTCCCAAAGTGTGGGGCCCGCCCCCTAAGGGGGGCGCAGAGCCATTGCAGGGGGGGCGCGGTATGAAAAAAAAAAAAAAAAAGGAACGCTTGGACACTGCTAGCATAATGGACAGGTTTTTAACGGGGCTCCCACACAAACGCAAAGCAGGAGATGAAGCATCGCCAAATATGCTTCCTAACATATTTTAAGCATATCTGCCCTTTAGCTTCACCTCCACAAGTGCCGAGGTAGCTCTCCCCTGCAGAATTGGTTTTCCCTGCGTCGGGAGGACGCGCTGGGCTCTCCAAATCACGGACAAACAGTATCCTACATTCTTGATTTTTAGTTCACAAACACTTGCTGTAATGACTAACTACTCCTGACATTTTGGAGATGTTAGCTCTTTATACAGTAAAGTTACAGCGGGATACAAATAACATCAGCCTGATCCTGCCATGATTTGTTCCCCGGTTCAAATCACAGACAAACAGTGTCCCACAGTTTTTTGTGTTTTTGAACCCATTTTGCACAAAGAGGCATTTTTTGAAAAAATGTTTTGATAGCAATGTTGAATATTATTACACAGGAAACAACAGAAACAACAAGTAAAATAATCACACTGTGACGCCTCTGCCTTTCTAAATAGAGGGACAGTAACTGCGTGGGTATATGTAAGTGTGTAAAACCTGCAGGGGGGGTTAGGTGATGGGGGGGGCGCAAACATTTTTCTTGTAAAACAAAGAGGGCCCAGCAAAAAAAAAAAAGTTTGGGGACCACTGTCTTAGATAATGCCTTTCACTGTTTCTGTAATCTCAACAGAGCATCAGGTTGCATGTGTTAAGGCATGATCATGATGGAATTTAAACATAATCTCTCTAACCTCAGCTTTAACAGTCTCCAACCAAAAACAGTGCTTTCAGTGTGTAGCTCCCCTGTTAAATGTCACAGAAGATGATGTAGAAAGTTCCAAAATACCTGTTTTATAGCCTAGGCATTCTTTTTATATATTATCCAAAATGTGTCCTCATCTCTGTCTTGTGTACCTGTTTCAAACTATACTTTCCTAATTTACAAGGTGTCATTATATATTTGTCTGAGTTTTATTTTAAGGTTTATTCAGTTTAAATGCTGGTTTTACTGTGATGTTGGACTGGAAAAACCTACAGTGTTCTATAACTGGATATCCTTTCCTCTCCATAAACCTATGGCCCACTGGCAACACTGCTGAGCTATTGTATACGGCAGTAAAGGCTGCATTTGTTTTGTCATTGCCAATATTCTTAAATTGCAGCCTTGGGTATAGTGATTACATCTTGCAGACATGCATTATTGTTTGGAGAGAGACTCAGCTGGCAGGATAAAGGCCAGACATGGGAGTTCACCGATGTTAAAGATGCAGGAGCATTTACCGCAGCATGCATTGAGCTGCAGTGGTGAGAACAGTGTTTGGATCTGTTACTTAAGTGAAAGCAGCAAGAGCGGTTTGAAATAATGTGCAACAAGTAACGATCCCACTTTAGCAAATCTCAATATTGGACAGAGCTAAGAAGAAGTACTGGCACCAAAATGCAATTATAGCACCAGAAGTAAAAGTACTCATTAAGAAAAAAGCCTATAGTGCAGTGTTCTTTACATACTCTGTGACAATACTATATACCAGAGTTCCCCAACCCGCGGGCCACGGACCGGTACCAACCCATGAGTCTTTTGGTACTGGGCTGCGACAGGTGAGGCTTGGGTGTGAAATTTATGGTTTTCAGGGTTTTCATTGCTTTTTATGGTTAACTCGGTTTCCCTGGGTCTTTCCCTGTGTGTTATGAATAAATCTTCTGTTTTTAGGTACCGGTACTGATTTTATTTTGTTGTTTTTATCTGCGACCCCTTAAAGGCCAGTCTGTGAAAATATTGTTGGACATAAACCGGTCCGTGGCCCAAAAAAGGTTGGGGACTGCTGCTATATACCATAGCCTCTTAGAATATAATAGTCATATTAAAATCAAAATAATCCAAAAGCTAATAAACAAATCCTGGTAACTAATACCTGAAGCTGCAGAGTACATTTTATAAATGTTAGATACTCATCACTCGGTTGGTATTATCTGAGTAAGGACAATTAAATGACTTTCCAGTGTGTATTACTGCTTCAGAACCTTTTAGGGTTTGGGCAGTACAGGCAGTACAGATACTGATACATGAGCACATTTCACCTCTGATGTCAAGTTCTTTTGACCTGTGTGATTGCAGTGTACCATGCCCTGGTACTGATCTGGTATGATTGAAAAAGAAAAGCACAGAACTCCAACCCTTCCTTGCAGACAACTGCCTCTGGTGAATAATTTTCAGCCGAGCCTCACAATCTATAAGGCGTGTGAGAGGGCAGTGTCTCTGTGCTTTCAAAAAAAAAAAAAAAGCCACAAAATACATAAAATCATGAACCTCATTGTGCTCTGCGAGAACGTTTGCCTTCAAAAGGATGCGTGTGCATGAGAGAGCGAGCGGGCGAGAGGATTGAAAGGCCTTTAAGTTCAGAATAAAGAAGAGACAGAGTAATGGGGTAAAATTTACACAGAAAAAGAGAATAACTGAAATGTACTCAGACCTGGAACATTAAACGGTAGCCAGCGGGTGAGGGGGGGGTGAGTGGTGGTTGGGAAAGGAAATCATGCCTAGTATATGTATGTGCTAAACTTATTGGCGAAAGCTGTTAACTCTATTGGAGGTCGAAGATGTTAACAGGTAAAATCCCAACATATTGAACATATACGCAAAATCATGCCTACATTAGCAGAAGCTTGTCTCATTAGTTTGAAACTAACTGTGAGCTACAGACACACAAATTTGGTTATGGATAGCCTGTGTGGCTTGGTCCAGGTGATAATTCTAGAATGTGTAATCAATAAGGAGGCACCAGCCTCACTGCAGGAGAGATAAATACGCATTAGTGCTGATTACAGAATTACCTGCAGCTGTTAGTGCAGCACTGTGGCTGCCAGCCTTACCTCCCAGTCCACACAGGCACCTCCCCACAATGCCACACAGCTTTAGCATCCTCAATTTCAGAATTCATTCAGATCACCCGTTTGTATGTATTCTAGCCCGCTGTTCTATAAAAGTTAAGATTAGACTTTTTATTGCTTTCATTTATTGGTTTCATAAATGTTTGTGTGACAGGGACAATAAGCTGGCAGAAGGCTAAACAGCAAATTGCAGTCAAATGTGGGACTGTAAAGCTGCTGTGCTCCTCACAAATGGATATCGGTGTGTCTAGCGATAACCTTTTTCCTGACACAGCTTTTGGCTTATTTAATAAATTGCTGAGGTGTAACTAATAGCATTAATGTTGGTTCTGCTCTACTTAGATGTGCCTGTGAATATTACTTCTGAGCCATTGTACACTATTGCAGAGTTCAGGCACTGCAACACTTAGACTGAATGCATCTGTTATTAATCTCGTAGACTGTCAGAATGTCTGCCGTGAGACTGTTCTGTGTTTGGCGGCCTTAATGAGAATGTGAGGACAGTTAAACAAAATGTGTAATAAGGTGGCATTTTGTCGTTATTAGCTGGTCAACACGTATTGTAGTAATCCAAGCGAAATATGAAACAACAGAAAACTGTCTCTTTATGTTTGTTTTGCCTTCTGATGATAAACTGGATTCGCCTTTCTTTTTATTTTACAGTAAAATCAATACAAGTAGAGCCAGAGAGCCAAACACACTGCTTCATCTGAGCAGAAAGAGGTGGGTGCAGGAGGCAGCATCGTGTGTTGCCTCTGGCTGTGTAAGGCTATTGGATTCTGGTAATGCAGCTCAGGATGCTGTCCCTAAGGATCAGTGCTGATGCTGCCACTGTTGAAACATGGTGGACTTTTCTCCGTTGCTCTTTTGAAAATAACGAAAACCTAATGTACAGCAGCTAAATGGACACGTCATCATAGAAGGAATGTCAGTGCAGTTGGTGTTTTTCATATTTTTATTCTGTTGGTTTGTTTTGCAGAGTGCAACCAGGCAACTTCGACTGGCTGTGCGCAGATTTCCTGTGTAGAAGTAGAAATACTGATGTTGTGTAAATGATGTCGGTGCTCCTCTGCTCATGACATTTAAGGGATTACAGAATATACAAAAATTGTGGCCTTCTCCTGGCAGTGACCGTGAACAAAGATCTAAAAACAGGGTGACCTACATTAGCATTTCTTTCTTTTCTTTTCTTTTTTTCACCTGGAATTGCAAAAAGTGAAAACTAGGCTACAGGATCTCCTGCAGGATTATTCTAGTGGAAGCCTCTCCTAAAAATAAGGAGCACATCTGCAAATGCCAGAAGACAGTATTACACTTTAATGAAATATATACACTGATCAGTCTGCATATTAAACCCACCTGCCTTATATTGTGTAGGCATGCCTTGGGCTGCCAAAACCGCTCTTGACTCATCAGGGCAAGCTGTCGTGTCTGGCACCAGGACATTAGCAGTGGATTCTTTGGGGCCTGTAGCTTATAGGCGTGGAGTCTCTGGCAACTGGGCTTGTACAAGTGCATCCCTCAGATATTCACACTGGGATCTAGAGACTTTGTACTGTTTCTCAAGTTGTTCTTGAGCAC